TATGGTGGCTTGCTACATGTTTAGATTGTTATAATGTTACATTATAAAATGATTTAAAATGCTGTTAATGTAGATTTTGTTCAACAGTACATACAGTACAGTATCATTTGAATTGTTACAATGATAGTGTGTGATATAATACCTAGATTTTGGTACAGGTGGTAGAGTGATACCGATAATTTGAGAAATATCCGTACAACCTAAATAATATACTGTCTAAAATTGGCAAAACTGTGTGCAATGTCAACTTTTGGTATTTGAACAATACTGCGGTTTAGTTGGTACCAAAAAAGCATCAAGGTTCAATCCTCAGCCCAACAGCACGTTTTAAGTGTTGACTTGCTTTAAGACATGTCTTAAGCCTCCTGTCTCTCATCTGCAGGGCTGCCTTTGCCCTGACAAAGCCGCTAAAGATGAACATGGTGAAGAGGATCATGGGGCGGCCGAGGCAGGAGGAGTGCAGTCCCCAGGACAACGCGCTGGGCCTGATGCACCTGCGACGCCTCTTCTCTGAACTGTGCCACCCTCCTCGCCACATGACCCAGAAGGAGCAGGAAGAGAAGCTCTACATGATGCTTCCTGTATTTAACAGGGTAAGTCACACCAGGGGTGGAGGGAGGGCTGGAGGTGGTCCAGACACAGGCAGATAAACGGTGACGGTCTCCATTACAATTCTGATCAGAACAGAACAGAACAGATATCAATTCTCATAAGGACACTTAGTTGACCGTTGACTGAAAAGCATTCATTTGGGTTCTGCAATGTATAAAGCTGGCATTCAGACCTGCTGTTGACTGTCTGTCTTTAAAAGGTTAATGGTCATCATGGTGTCACAGGCAAGGTGCTCCATCTACTCTTAGAGTGCCTCTTACATCATGGACTGATATAAACTCAGTATATGAGAAGTCACCTGGAAACTATTTGGAATTAAAATTCTGTGGTCAACTGCTAATTTCCATACGCACCTGAGTAGACACCTCGCAGTCCCAGTGCAGTTTAATCTGATGGAAATAAACTTGCTATCTGTGCAGGTGTTAACGTTAAAGTTCAGCTAAATATAGCACAATGACATACATGTTTTCACACTAGCTTTGGGTCCCTTACATTTATCATCCATCTACAATGTAAATGATCAAACCTCTGTATTAGAATCACACTTTATCACAACCTCTTATACTGACACTGAATTAAATCTTGAGCGCCTTGGGATCAACCTGATCTCCAAAAATATTTGACAAAGGTAATATTGTCTAATGCACACCTGGTACACAGGTGCAGGAGAGTCATGCAGAGGCAGTGAACTCCCACACACTGTCAACACTAAGCTTAATTAAAAAAGTTTTGATCATACGCCTTTTGGCTTTTACTTTTGGCTTTAACCTCACATTATAGAACATCCTCATACTTGGCTGGCCACAGGCTCAAAACTTTATACATAAACTCAAACAAGCAATGTCAATGTGTTGGAAATGTCGTAAAAACGTCCCTACGTCCCTAGTCTTTTTTGATTAGCTGATTAATCTTTTAGTCTCTACAATATGAAAATATAGTGAAAAACGAACGATCATCAGTTCTGAGAGCCGTGTGACATTTTTTTTTTCTTGTTTTGTTTGACCAACAATCCAAAACCTGAAGTATGCATGTAATACTGTAAAGAGAAAGAAGGAAAAAACAAACAAAAGAATCCCTTAAAATTGAGAAGCAATTAAATTGTTCTTACTTAAATTTCTATTGATTGACTAATTGATTATAGACTAACCATTCCAGCACTAATGACAAATAAATTGGACAACGAATGAATTAATAATTAATTGGCCAAGGAATCAGTGTCTGTTTTTCCAACAAAAGAGATAATGCAGGACTCAGTGAAATGATTTCTCTGTTTACAGTCTTTCTTTATATTACACTGATAGAGTAGTATGCCTACATTGTGTTGTAGCAGCTGCTGCGAGCTGCCCTGTTGAGTGTTCTCGTCAGACTGGAGTACCTTAGTAAGGGTCTCTTGTCAGCTAATTATGCAGTGCTGGCTGTGATTCCCTCACTGGTGGCATAATTCATGTCAGAATTCAAAAGTAGAGTACTCCCGGTGCAGCAGGACACCAGGCTCCAGGCCTACTTTCATGTCAGATTTGCTGCGTAAATAAATACACGATGAGTCGTTGTTGAATGAAGTGTAGTTTATCTTTGCCCTGCTCCCCCGAAGGCTGTGCTCTGTGGTTGTAAAATTAGGACATGGCAGGAAAAGCCCAGAGAGATGCGAGCCAGTGCACCTGTACCTTGATGATTTCTGTGTGTCCCTGCTCGATGTGATTGCACACTGTGGGGAACTGCTGCTTTATTTACAGTTTCATTGTTTTCTCTTTTCTCTCCAGTAAAGAAGTCATTTTAACCCTTGTTACTGTATAAAGGCATACGATTTCTTCTTTTTATTTTAGAGTAACACATGGATTTTTTGGGGGATTTCTTCTTTAGGTGTTTGGGAATGCTCCACCCAGCAGCATGACGGAGAAGTTTTCTGACCTGCTGCAGTTCACTACCCAGGTCTCACGGCTCATGGTGACCGAGATCAGACGAAGAGCCTCTAATAAATCCACAGGTGAGCCCTCTGACACGTAGATTTATTACGGTAAAGTCATGTCATGTCATGTAAATGTCATAGGAAGTTTGTAAACATCAATTTATCCTTTCTTCATCCGTTACGGTTATTTCCCATAACCGGTTTGCTTCTTGTCATGATGATTTACTCCCTTCCCCCCATGTGCGGGTGTGTTTATTCTCCCTTTGGCTTTGCTGGTAAAAGCCACATTTCCACCAGAGGGACTAGGAACCTTTGGAGGAACTAGGTGCACTTCTCCCTTGGGGAGAAACTTTGGTATTTTTGAACCCTATTTTCCCTTGTTTTTGTGTCTAAGTGACTAATGGGGACAACAGTTTTTGAAATTGGTCCAGTATTGCCACCAAAACAGGGCCTGCAATAGCTAATCCTTAATAATTTGCACATTCTTTTTTTTAGCCCCCAAAAAAAGTTCTTGTTTTCTCTGCTTGCGGGATTATTTTCCAAAAGTACACAAACTTTGGGAGGGAAGCTTGCAGCGGTAAACATTTCTGATTGGAAATACCAGTGGTTTGTTATTGCATTGTGCTTTGACATATCAACATTACATACATACACAATACGTTACGGAAGAAAGCATGCGACAGATGGACCAACAACGAAGTCCCAGCATCGTTGTATATTCACGCAAAAAAAAAGCTGGAAAGCTGCAGCAAATATATCTTGCAAGAAAAAGAACATGTGCAGAATATAGATAGGCATCTTTTCATCCATTGGGAACAGTGTCTGTCTCATGACACAACTGACTAAAATGTCAACAATGACCTGTTAACTGTTTCTCACTCAGTAGATATTTTTGTACTAAGGACCAATGCAATGTGTGTTGAATCTCACATGGAAGGTTAGGTCTTTCACCTGAGGTGAGCAGCAGTTATCTCCCCTCCTTTTGGACAGTAGTTACAGCAGTTTAGTGACAACACACACACACAACACACACACACACGACACAGCCACACACCACACACACACAACACAACACACACACACAACACACACACACACACACAGGGTTTTAAGTCTCTAGCTTCCTGCTTCTAACTTATCTTACTTTATCATCTCTCTTGTCTCTGTCTGAACATGTGATGTGTTGTTTTCAAGCAGAGCACAGCTCCGATTTTGCAACACCACAGTCTTAACACACACTCCTCCAGCTGGTCACCAGGCCTCTGAAGATTGAGTCAGTGGTTGACTCAGGGTCTAAACTGACTTTGATATGCTCCAAATCAAATTAGACTAGACTCTTGTAAGGAAGGGTGTTTAATCTGGAACGTTTTCAAAAATGTCCCATCTAAAGCTGACAGAATATGTGTGATACAATCAGTCATCCATTGTTGCTAACAATACCACAATGCAATCCGTTGCATTTTATAATTGTGCAACTCTACACCTGTAAGTGATGATGAAAACTGATTCATAATTGTCCAAACTCTAAATGTACTGTTCACTATTGAGTAAACTACTGTCTCCTATAAAGGCAGTAGTGGATGTGTGAATGAGTGAATGACGGAGTAATTTTGGAAACAGCGCTGGTTGTTTCCATGTTTGGAGATAAGTCTTTGTTTTAAGAGCCAGACAGACTGGAACATCTTAAACATAGTGTGTTTAATCACTGCTCTACATCACTGCATATGTTGTGTTAGCTAAACTGCATGTATCCATAGAATAAATACCAACTATATACAGTATGTTCATCATCTTTATCTCTGTATTCCTTTCTGTAGCAGACACAGGTTATTGAAGACAGCCTGGCTTGTATTTAGTTGTACAAAATTAGACAAAATACTCCTTCTCCCCGACAAAAAAGGTCTAACATATCATACTATTTCTCTAAGGCATCCTAGTCCTTTGTTTTGATGGAGGAGAGAAAGAGATTTGCTGGGAATTGGATAAAGGCCAGAGATGACATTTGGACAAAAGTCCTCTGTGAAGCATTCATGTTTTGAAGCCAATACATAGTTGGTTTATTCAGTGTTTTCAGTGCCCACCGGCTGCAGGAGCCACATGTGAGATTGACATTTGCCTTGTTTCTTTTTTCCTATACTATTATGTTTAAACATGTTGTCTGTTGAAGAGTGGAATATCAAACAGCACATTAGAAACTTGTTAATATGTACAAATGATGTTTTTTCCCCCTGCAGAAGCGGGCTGTAGACAAGACTCCTGTCACTTCCACCAAGATGATTTATTTGTTGCATAACTGATCATTGTTCCAGCAGCCCATCTGCCTGCCACAATGAGCTGTCACTCTCCTTTAAGTTAACTGTGTGTTTATGTGTGTGTGTGTGTGTGTGTGTGTGTTTGCTTCTCCAGAGGCAGCCAGTCGAGCCATAGTCCAGTTCCTGGAGGTGAACCAGAGTGAGGAGGCGAGTCGTGGCTGGATGCTTCTGACCACCATCAACCTATTGGCCTCCTCCGGACAGGTTGGCAGAATAACACTATACTCATTTTTTGTGCTCTCTCTTCGTGTTTTTCTGTTTGTACCCTTGATTTTTGTTTTGTTTTGTTTGTTTGTGAGGATTGCCCTCCTACATGTGAGCGTAGCTGGATAAATCAAAGGAAACAACTTGTAAAAGAAGAGGTTTCTCAGTGTTCTGTCTCTCTTTGACCCATTTGCATCCTCTCTCTTTGATCTCTCGGCAGAAAATAGCATCAGCCTTTGTAAGAACTGAGAAACAGGCTCTTGAGTACAAGTAAAAATCCCCACCAGACCATCCCACCTCATTCTCCCCAAATAGTAATTTGTTAAATCTGTTTTACCGCACTGAATGAAGGAATGGATGCTGCTCCTGTTTATATCTGATAGTTGTCTTCTACTCATTCAAGACTGCTGCATGTAATTCTGAATTTTAACATGGCAGCTTCTTGGGCTTGTGGTTTAAAGGTCAGGCAGTAAGGTCTTGTTTATCGTTGTGCTCTTGCACTGTGGCCAGCAGCAGACGCCTTTTGAACTTTTCGGCCTGCATTCCTCTGGAGGTCTTGAGGCGAGCATCGCTGTCAGCTGACCGGCTGGCTGCTGACCGGCTGGCTGCTTTTTTTTCCTGCTCCGCTGCACATCAGAAATTCACTGTTGCTGTCGAGTCAAACACTTCCTCTCTCCTTCTGCGGAGATGTTTTAACACCCTGATCTTCCTTTAACAAAATGCACACACTCACAGTATCCGTGTCCATTGCAGGGGTTAGCTATAGGTTTACTCAAGCCCTGAACATTTAAGAGAATATTTGTGGAACACTACATTTGGAAGCTTGAAGGAAAGGTTAGATATAGTACAGTTGGTGTTAATGCTTGTTTGTTTCTGCTGCTTGATTTTTAAGACAGTGTTCTGTGCACTACTAAAAGTTGAAGGATAAATGCCTCAAAGGGGTCATTAAAGTGCCACTGCTTACTGTGTACACTGCAGTTAAAAAATAAACATTCAGGCTTGTAACAATGCATAAAGCAAATCTTCTACTATCGGGGAATAAAACCAAGGTTTATTTTTCAAGTTCAACTCTTTGCTTTAATTTAAAGTTCTCAGAAGTGGCCTCCCTGGTGCGCACAGCAAACACGAAACATGTCAGGATTTAAACCACTCACACGTCACTGAAATTAAGTTTCCTTTCTGTTAGGGGCTGGTTCTGTTTTATAGTCCGGTTAGCCTTTTCAAAATGCATTCTAGTACATTTCATTCGGCTGGCGGATCGTGTCCGTTTTAAGTGAAGCCAGATTGACTGTATTTTACGGTTGTAGAAATGCCAGATTGTTATTCTTGTTGAGCCAGGGAACATTTTTTGACTGTATGAATGTAGAATCTGAAGTAAACATCCGATACAACTCCTTCAACAGTCCTTCAGTCTTTGCCATTTAAAGGAAGCAAAAGAAAGTTTCTTACATTTTTTGTTACTGTTTCTGAGGCTAATTTTTCTGTTCAGACTACTTAACCCTGCTTGCAGTGTTAACTGTAAATTGGTATATGTAGAAGTATTATGCCAGAAATGTGCACATTTTTGGCCCTGGGGTTTTTTTTTCCCAACCAACAGCAATATTAACCAGCATTTGCATGTTCCTGGAAACCTCCCAACCTGCTCCTGTGTCATTCAGGCAATGGTTTCATTATACTGCTGCGTAACTGTTTACTGATTTCAGTACACACAAACTTGACAGGAAAAAGAATGACCTACCAGGTTGGCTCACGGTCCGGTTTGTGTGTGTGTGTGTGTGTGTGTGTGTGTGTGTGAGAGTGACCGGGTTTAATGGATTTGTATTCTTTTCCTCTTGTGTCTCAGACAGTAAAACAAAGGACCCTCCTGGCAGCTGGCCTCCCATAAACCTGACGTCACTCCCCTCTCTTTAATGCTGTCCCTCTCTCTCTTTTCCTCTCATCGCCCGCTTTCCTCCCTCAGATGATAAAACAGCAATTTTTGTGTTTGTAGTCTCTCTATCTCAGCTTATTTTTTTTTTTTTTTTTAACAGGATGCCCTTCACGCTCTTTGTGTTTTTTCTTTGAAACACACACATATAGGTTTTTGACATTTTTCCCTCTTTCTTTCTCCTTTTGTCTGTCTCTTTTCCTTTATCTCTCTCTCTTGTTCCTTTTCTGTCTTCCTCTCTCTCTTTTACCTTATACACACAGACACACACATCCAATAAAATGTCTTTTTTCCAGGTGACCTTGACCTTAAAGCTGCAGCAGGGCCAATATGTCACAGCCTGTAAACACACACACACACCCTCCCCCACTCC